ATGGTCTTTGAATCCGCACAAGAATAGTCTACGAATACAATTCTAAGGTATTTTTATTAGTTTCAAGATCAGTTCTGCATATATTTATATTGAATGTAAACAATTATATATGCAATTTACGTTGTTCATGAACAATGTGTTGGCTATGTCAACAAACAAAGAAATACCGATTTTATATCACTAGAAACCGTCCAGCGAAACTCCGTCCAATCGCAAACAACGGGTGATCAGAGTCAAGGCATATCACCAGAGAGCCTTGTGAAGATAACTTACAACTTAGGCATGGAAAAAAAGACAAAATCAAACGTAAATGCAAAAGTTAATGGTTATAGGAGCTGAAATTTTGGTTTCCTCCCTTGCATCATGGTTATCGATCTTGATTCAAAAGACAGTAGGAAAATTCTTATCGGTTTAACAATCATCTGCTAAAAGAGTTCATATCTCTTAGCTCAGAAATTTATCAGTTGATGGCTGGTAAGTCTTGAAAATGCGATTTTGTGGCTAGATCTATTACGTTTGTGGATGCAACTAGTATGTAAAAGCATAAAGTAACTGACACAAGAGATTTGTTAACTAGGGTTCGTTTCCTACTCCTTGGGTCCACGTCAAGAAATAATCCACTATAGAACAAGAAAGCAATACACAATTGCAAACGCATAATCAAACACAACTGTTTTGACTACCGCCCTTTTCTATACGCATACACTATGAAAACAATATGCATGCTTGACCACCACCCGGCAGCACCGGTGCATCACCATCTTCTCAACGGCTGCAGTCTTCAGAGACAATCACCACCATCATGGTGAGACGACACCACACACACATGTGTGCATCTCACAATGGAACCCTAGGCGCGTCAGTGTGTTTATCTACGCCTCTAGGTATAAATACTCATGTCCCTAGACCCTAATTACTCTCCAAGTCACGTGGCCCTTCAAGCCCATGAGCATCTAGGCCCGCATCCAATCTTGTTAATAACTGCTTCAGTGTTTGCTTCAACATCTGCTTCAACTCTGTTTTAGCTATGCTTCAGCTCTTTTCAGCTGTGCTTCAGCTCTGCCTGTCTTAGTGATCCTGTCTTACACTTCATTCTCTACATGTCCCAAGAGCTTCTTAAATCAGTCAGCAATACACTAACAAGTCTTGTAGCTTCCTTCTTTCTAATTAATGATGTGTTATACTGACGCTAAAGGGAAAAAGCTATTCATCTAAAAAGTACCTTAACTTAGTTTAGATCATATCAAAACGCATACACACAAGGTTAACTTTTAAAAGAATGATGGCAGTGAAGAGTTTTGTTTTTCTTTCAATTTTCTTCTATATATATATGTGTAAATAACTAAATATCCACATCGTAATCTCTCAAGTGGCACTTTTGATAGATGAACTCTAAATTATAGAGGGATATAACGGACGATCTAGATGCATGGATAAGGTATATTGTTAAGTGTTATTCGAAATTCTATTTTCGTGGAGATAATCGAAGAATAAAGCTAACGTCACAAATGAAAAAGAATAAGAGAATATATATACCAATCAAACTTTGGTTTGTGATGTAGAACATTTTTTTTTTAATTTGTATATGTGTCTAATTTGCATACATACTTAACTTTGAACACCACAAATACACTAATGAAGAAGTCAGCATAGTACTTGATCAGGTTGTGTACAAGCCTATATTTGGACATTTTTACATAATTTGGATTTGGACAAAATTAATACATAATCATTACAAAATGGTACAATATGATATATTTTTTTATAACTCGGATATAGCACCATATAAAAGATTACTTAAATCGTAAGTGTAGTTTAGTTACACGGATCATTTAGGTCAGGTGTCATGTAATCCAAATGACCTATGTAAAAACCTGAATGCAATACTTATTAAGAAAAAGAATGAAGTAACTGTAAGAAGAAAAAAAACATGTAGGATCAGATAATAGAAATAATCAAGAAGTAGCGAGATCAAGCAGAAAGCGTTGGAGAAGGACCACAACTACTTCATAAGAGGGCAGTTCAAGTGGTGTATCACATTTGGAAACAAAGTATTACACGACTCACAAACCATTCCTCCGGTGAGGATGTTCAAGAACATTGATAGAGAAACGTCAAGACAACAAAGAAAACGTTGAAGAGATCTAACAATACCAACATGGCAATATCTTACCCTTTATTATTGTAATCTTGTTTTTAGTTTTTTTTTTGCTAAGATTACACTACTTAATTTAGGTAATTCGCAAGTGTTCATTTTAAAACGATAAAAACATTTTAGCAAAAAAGAAGTAGCGAGATCAAGGAATGGGAATATAATATTGTCATTCTTCTCAAAGCCAAAACCACTACATAACTACGACCAGCTACTTGAAAATTTAAATATAAATTTGAAGATGTCGTCCACTTCTTTTCTTGTTTACTAAAAACGGTTCATTTTCTATTTTATTGGCCGGCTAGTCAGTTTTGAGTTTTCATAAGATTTAAAAGTTATGACCAATTCACATTACGACCACTACTTCTTGTTTAACCATCTCAAGGATTCAAGCATAAAATAACATGCACCACAACCATTTCACTCACAGGGTCAAACAAAAAAAGATGTTCTAACCTAATAAGGAAAACCTTTGATCTCCCATGGCGG